ATGACAAAAATACTTTATAGGTTCTTTTCAGAATTTCGAACACTACTAAGATACCCCAAAATTCACTATTATGGTGCCCTAAAGTCTCACAGTCGTTATGAACAGTCGTTGTTTGAATAAGTTTGAAAACACTTCTTAAATGTTGACTTATTTTCTCTTTCCAGCCTTAAAAAGGTGTTCATTTTGAAATTGAACTGCGCTGTATAGCCAGCCCATGCTCATGCTGCTGACATCCATAAGCTTATGAATGTAATGATTGATATTGTTAAAGCATGCATTGCATTGGTATGTAAGTGAGGTGCAAAAGCTTTTTCTCTGATGCATGGGGAATCTGCATGTTTATGCTGAAATAGGAATGCTTAGGTTATGGCTGTTATTGTCAGCATGCAACTCTTTTTACCATTTATCTGATATGACCTTATATTTTTAACTTAACATAAAAGTAACAAATATTGTTCACTCTTATGGCGAATTCCTGTGATCTTCCTCATTTTGTAAGTCGTTTGCTGAAGGAATCAATTTGATTTCGTAGAGATCATCCACTTATTTTTTACATATTGATATTGATTGTTTTTGTTTGTGTTTTATAATTGATATGTGGAATCAATTTTTAGACATTTATGTATTTCTGATTTTTGACACACATGATCGGACTACAAGTTATTGTTTATGCAAAGTTGTTTTGCAGTCTTATTTCTCACTTAGAATCAATATATTAAATAAGTTGGGCTACTTTACCTGTGAAAACTTGTTTCCTGTTGAATGCATTGGAATTACTAGGTGCTATTCTTTAGAGATCCACTGAATGATGCAATTTATCAGTGGAACCAATGGTAACATTTCTGCATTTGGCAGATGCTTTTATCCAAAGCTACTTGGCACATTTTTTTCAGTTCTTGCTTTCCATGGGAATTGAATCCATGACCATTGTGTTGCTAGCACTATACTCTACTGTTTTAGCTACAGTAAAGCTAAAGAATAAGAAGAAAAGTATAAATATTGGTTAAATATGTATGTATATTAAGTTCAGCTTAGTCCAATTATTAGGAGTAGAAGAAAGTAGTGACTCGAAGCTTTTTCTATTAACTTTTCCCTTGGGAGAGAAAACATTTAAAGCGCTCTACGGCTCTAGGCCTTGTTCCAGAAAAGTTTCCCAAAATGCATTTACTTGGAAATAGAAGAAGACAATGTCCAAAAATGTTGTTGTGAGTTAACGTTAGAAAGGCTTATATCTTCTTCGATGTGTGCTTCATCATCATCAACATCCTCTTAACAATTATTTTAATTTGACATGTACTGAAACAATTTTGAAATCGGCTCCAACATAAGATTTAGCATAGATTCTTTGTTAGACACTATCTGAAACTTCCTTGACCACATTATGCATGTTTGTCTACAGAAGGATCCTCAGAAGTTTCTGTACGCTCCTTACATCATCCAACATCTTACATTCACCAGTTATAATCCATATTTGATTTTCTGTAAGCTTTACCACATATGCTGATCTGGATATTGTCAGTAACGGATCAGAATTCACTAACCATTTGAGAGATAAACAACACAATGTTTCTTAAAATGTTCTTCCAAAATGCCTTATAATAACTCCCTAATATCGTTGTGTTTATTCAATCTTTACACCTTAATAAACTTTGATCAGTTTTAAAAGCACAAGATCAGTGATTTAGTTTACAGACCTATTAAAACTGGTGTAAAAAGTGCTTAATTTGTTCTGCTTGATTCCACCCATGTGATAAAGCATCTAATGAGACGATAGTCTAGCGTGTCACTCCTCATTGTTCTGCAGGCGTCAGAGGTTATTCATGAGCAAGGCATTGTCCGGCTCCCAACAGGCATCTCCTAATCCGTCTGCAGCAAACAAGAATCTGATTCACTGGCTTCTGTCTTTAGAGGAAAGGAATTCTTCTCACTCTTTTTCTTTCCTTCATTTTTTTGACAGGTTACATAAGCAGATATGTTGGTTTTGATACCACAGATGTTTCATTTTGGCATTAAGCAATTTTTTTTTTCTATTTTACCAACAGGAATGGCTGTAATAGGCTTAAACTGATTTAACCGTGCATCTGCCATCTTCACCGATCAAGGTTAAAGTTTTTGAGGCTTATGCAGCAGATCAGAGTGTGTCAGTTTATATATATATATATGTATGCAAACAATGCCGATTAACCTATGTACCAATAACATCATTCAAATATAGGCTCACAAATAATAGCAGCATATTTTAAGTGCAGTAAGTTTGCTTCAGATTTCATTTTGCATTTAGTCACACTTGTCAGATTAAGGTCTGCGTTTTGAAGTACCTAACAGTGTTCTTGCGTTTGTATGTGCGCAGCTCAACCTTTATATTATCTCTGTTGGAGTGACGTCAGCCTTCAATGCAGATTTGTATCAAAATCATCCAAGCAGCGTGAAGAGCAGCCCGCTGTCACTGTTTGAACACTTGATGCTTGGCAAATTTGAATATGTCCGAATACAAATATACTCACAGAACGACTGCTAACAGTACTACTCATACCAGCAAATAGTGCTGGGTTAACAGTGTTCAAATCACTTAGCCCCAAAAGCAGCCACGTCCCATCTAATTGCACATTTTGTAGAGCGAGGTCACCTAATCAAGCTCACAAAGACCTCCTTACGGGGCTTTTATGTGAAAACGCAACCTGAACATCTCTGTTCTTACATACTTTTAGGATAATGTTAAGCCTGTAAGCTTTAACGTGGCATAGCGTTTCCCAGACCGTCTTCGGAGGCAGGTCCAGCCTGCAGGTCTCTCATTACTGTAGGCTTAACGATATTTCCTCAGTGATACAATTGTGTTGGTGAATGTCCACCCGCCCACCCCACCAACTGGATGCCGTGACCAATGGGACAATGCAGGCAGCTGCAAAACGGGGAGCCTAATAGTCGTGTAGACTTTCAACTGCTCTTGTTTTAGGCCATGCATTAAGGGTTGTTTTTAGGGGAAAAAAAGAAAGAAATTGTCTGTAATCCAATTCGCTGTTTGTTCTTTAATTTATAATGATGTTATGTTGTGGTTTTGTGTAGTTTTCAAATGTATTTAACCAAATGGCCAACACTAAAAAAAAAACAAAAAAAAAACATTAGTTTTTCCTCTCCTATCCATTGTGGTATTTAATAGTTTACCCCGCAAAAAAAACATTATTTGCGTCGTTTTCTGACTCTTGTGTCATTTTAAACCAATATGAGATTTCGTTTTTCTTTTGTGGAGCACGAAACTAATTTAGAAGAATTTTCACACTGCCTGTTCACAATGAAATTGAATGGAAAGAAATGCTGTCATACTCCAAAATTGAATTACTGTAATATAAGGCTGTGCAAATAATCGAATGCGATTTTCATGCGCATCTCGTCCGTAAAGCTGGTTTTGTGATTAGTAGTAAATCTCCAGCACGTGCGTTCAGGTGGAGCGGCATTTACTACACAGAGCTGTAGATCACTGACAAGCTACGCAACATAGCTTTCAAAATCGGCAATGAATCGATTCGATTATTTGCACAGCCCTACTGTAATAATACTGTATTAGTTGGACTGCACTATATTCCATGTTTTTTTTAAGGATTTTTTTAAGGATGTAAAAGTAGCTTTTTGTCATGAACGGATGGTTTTCCCCTCCACAGTAGCTCTCAAATGTCGTTTGCACTTCCACATTTTCAAACATTTAGTTTGAAAATGTTTAGTGCCAATAACAAAGATTGACATCTTGTTTTGCCATGTTTGAATATGCAAATGAGATTTAAGAACTGCAAGAATTTATGGAATGCATTGGATATTTTTCAGCGCTTTGTCATTTTTGGTGCTTGACAACACGTCTTACCTTCACTTTTGTTGTATAGTAAAATGCCATGTGAACATTCTGCCTTCAGACTTGCTCCTTTGATCATGTAGTCTCACCATGTGTGTTTTGCGTATGACATGATGTAAGTTTAGCAGAACGTCCTGAGCCTGTGAGGCCAGTCACATGAGGAACTGCTTTCATTATAGGCTCAGATCATTTTACATGCAGTAGATTTATGTTTGCAGGCTGCAGGAAGCTGTCAATTTATTTTGCAAAAGCACTGAAGTCTCTGATATGATGCACACGTCTGCACACATGCATCTTGCCCTGACGTGATCCAAGGATTCCTGTTAGTCACTCTGGGATTAGGGTTGCCAAGAATTACGTCTTTTTTTTTTATGCATCTGCTTTTTCTCCTCTTAAAGTGTGTTGCTTTTTATGGACCGTTTTTGGCATGTTCTCTTACATCTGAATGCATTATAATCCACATTCCTTCTCATTCTCTCTCTCCCTCACTATCTGTCTAGCTTTCTCACTCTCTCTAATATCTCATTGGTCATCCTGCACTTTGCTGAACAGCTGACTGTACCCCTGCTTAGTCCCAGTCAGGGCTTCTCTTGTTTTCCAAGTTGCACAGATGCCCTGGAAATGAGTCAGTTTCTATTTTTGCTAAACATTTAACACCGTCTCTCAGCTGATGTCGTGTCTACCTCATACTGGCCAATAGCAACACTGGCCCATAATATCACAGCCAGGCTTTTCACAGCTCGGGCTATGAGTATTTCCTAAAAAATTAATTAATACATTTATTCAGCAAGGATGCATTAAATTGATCAAAATTGACAGGGAAGACATTTCTACTGTTACACAGGATTTCTATTTCCAAATAAATGCTGTTTTCAACTTTCTATTCATCAATTAATCCTGGAAAAAAGTATCCGCATATTAAAATGATTTCTGAAGGATCATGTGACACTGAAGACTGTCATGGCTGCTGAAAATTCAGCTTTGCATTACAAGAATAAATTACATTTTAAAATATATTAAAGCAGAAAACACTAAAAATATTTTACAATATTTCTGTTTTACTGTATGTTGGATCAAATAAAATCAACATTCAAAAACATTTTTAAAAAACTTACCAACCATTTGTTTTATGTCTAAAAGCTTCAAAGAAATGTTCAACATGCTAAGAAGTCTTCTCTTTCTATCCCAGCAGGCCAATGAAGCCCTCCACCACCAGCATCAGAACAGCCTGCTGCCGCTGCTCAACTCTGAGCCGCAGGATCAAAAGCCTGTTCTTCCTATCCTGCTCGACCAGAAACCCCCAGTCAGTGTGGCTGACCTCCTCAAAGATAACATGGGCAGCGGAGGGGGAGGAGGTGGTGGCGGCGGCGGTCAGGTGGTAATAAAGAAGGAGCCCAAGTCAAAGACGCCCTTCATATGCGGCTACTGCAACAAGGCCTTTCGGGACAGTTACCACCTCCGGCGACATGAGTCCTGTCACACGGGCATTAAGATGGTGTCACGGCCCAAGAAGACAACCACAGCGCCCACCATGGTGCCTCTCATTTCCACTGTGCCACGCGACAACAATGGCAACCCCTCCTATGTCTCTACAGTGGCAGGGATCCTCACCACAGCCACAACCTCCGCATCCACGGCCGCAGGTGTGATGTCGGTCCTGCCTCAGCAGCAGCCGGCCGTGCCCAAGAAACCCCCCAAACCAGTGAAGAAGAACCATGGGTGCGAGATGTGCGGCAAGGCCTTCCGTGACGTCTACCACCTCAACCGCCACAAGCTCTCGCACTCGGACGAGAAGCCCTTCGAGTGTCCCATCTGTCACCAGCGCTTCAAGAGGAAGGACCGCATGACCTACCACGTGCGTTCGCATGACGGTGGCGTGCACAAGCCGTATATCTGCTCCGTTTGTGGGAAAGGCTTCTCTAGGTAGTTTCAGCAAGTCACGACTGACTTTAGAGAAACATGTCTCATGGTTGATTTTAGGAACAAACCATTATGTCTTGAATGTCTTGCATGTCAAATCACCTTTGTTTATATCGTGCTTTATACCATGCATATCGTTTCAAAGCAGCTTCACAGTAATAACAGGAAAATAGCAGAATCAATGATGCAAACTTCTTTAAAATTCTTCATTACAATTCCAAGTTCTGCTGTAAAGCATCTCTACATAGGACAATAGTGTCTTAATATGCAATATTTGTCCATTGGTTATTTATCCTGAAAACGTTTCAATTTCATTTGACAAGCCTCCACAAGCTAAGCTTTTATGCTTGCTGTTGCCAGATGACAAAATTTTAAATCCCCTTAATCCCCCAATCTGCCCATTCGATTAATCTTCCCAACCTGGCAACCATCTCTGCTTTGAGAAAAAAGTGCATCTGAAAACACAGCAGTTTCAGCGATTTCCTCCCCAATGTTTTGCTCAAATGAAAGTACGATACAGCCTGAAAGCTTCTTGTTGTACCAGTTTTCGTAATGTAAAGACTGTTAATTTATTTGGGAAATTTAATTCATCAGGAAACTAGATTAGGTAAAATATGCTATTTTAGTTGGTTACCTTGATTTGTGCTTATGTGAAATTGCAATAATTCTAATGACATGTAAAATGACAATAATCATGATTACTTGTGATTATCAGTTTAACCATTATCATGCAGCCCTAATAATAGTGTCATCATGCAGCTCAGATCAGTTCAAGTTTTATTCTTATCCATGTACAGTGACGTAATTTTTTTTATTGTATGCGATTTCCTCTCCAATAGGCCGGATCATCTTAGCTGTCATGTCAAGCATGTACACTCCACAGAACGACCCTTTAAATGCCAAGTAACGGTAAGACTGCACCTGCATTCTCAAAGTTACTTCCTGTGTGCTTCATTGGTCAATCGCACTCCGTCCACTCACTGATTTGTCTTTCTGTCACTGCAGGCCTGCACATCCGCCTTCGCCACCAAAGACCGCCTGCGTTCACACATGATACGGCATGAAGGCAAGGTCACCTGCAACATTTGCGGGAAGATGCTGAGTGCCGCCTACATCACCAGCCACCTCAAGACCCACGGCCAGGCCGGCTTCACCTCCCCTTGTAACAAAGGTATGCCAATTCTCCAAAAATTTTCAGATGTCTTCTGGGATGACTTTCACACTGAGAGAGGTGCCACTGGTTTCTCTTGATCCTGCCACATACATTAGTGCCTCCTCATTGTTTGCCATCTGTGTGATTTGATGTTGCCAATACAAAATGGAATCGTCCTTTTTGTTCACTTTTCATAATATTTGGTGCTAAAAAGTATTTTCCCCAAATTGGCCTTTTAAGGTCCACAAATGTCTGCTGTCTAGTGTGAATGTTAGATATTCAAATATGTAGAGGTTAGGTAAAAAATAAGAGATATTTAGCCTCAACTGTAAGGATTTTTCTTCAGTTCTGATGTTTACTTTTCAGTAGTCCCACCACATTATGTATTTTAATACTACTACAATTAATTTACTATAAATATTTATATTTTTCGTAAAATGTTACTTGTTACATTACAAATAAAAACAAATTAAACATTTATCTTTTAGAAACATTTTTCTAAACATTTTAACAATGTATTTTTTTAATTACTAGAAATATTTATATTTTTCAGAAAATATTTGATTTTTGCCAAAAAGTCCACAATTTTATTTACAAAGAAAACGTAAACATTTTTCTTTAGAAACGTTTGCCTTTATCAATGTATTATATTTACTAGAAGTATTTATAAAAATATATACATTTTTACAAAAAAAAAAGAATTATTTACAAGGTAATGTTGTTAAGCTTTTGCTAAAAAAAAAAGGCATGTAATGCAAAACATAACTTGCAAACCAATCGGTATCACTGACACTTTCAAGACTATCACAAGTCATTTTTGACAAAATTCTAGCCAGCTAGAAAAAATTATGTTGGTGACAAATTTGCAACAGCAATTTGTAATACATCGCAGTAAACTAAATGTAAAAATAGATGTATAAGATCAATAAATGTAAAATATTCAGTGGCAATACAGCTACTAGCCCGAAACTCTCACACTGACCATAGACCATCTTTATGAATGAATTCTGCTTTTTCTGTCTTGACCACAGTGTAACCCTAGAAATCAACCCAATGTTTTATTCACTCTTTCCTTTTTCACTTTTTTCGGTCAGACTCTAACCATGTGTGCAACTCTGCCTCAGCCACATTAGTCACTTCTTCGACCGCGTCCAACACTATGGCCATGAACCGCGGCGCCATCAGCCATCCCGTCACCATCGCCGCTCAGATGAACATCACCACCAACACGGTCAACATCACCTCCCCCGTCAGCCTTCACCACCCGGTCACCATCACTGCTCCCGTCAACATCGCCTCAGTCAACATCCCAGCCACGGCGCCCATGAACATCGCCCATCCCGTCGCCATCACCTCGCCCATGTCAATGAACATCACTGGTCCCCTCAACATTGCCATGAGGCCGATGGAAAGCATGTCTTTCCTCTCGCAGGTCCTGCCATCCACCCCGCCCTGGTAGAACCCAACGTCCCACCCGCCGTCTCCTAGTAAACCTCATGTCTCCCGTTTTAGTCTTCCTCTCCAGCTGTGAGGGGAAAAAAAGAGCCTGGAGGAATGGCGAGGGTAGGAAAATGACAATCCGCAGCTGCAAGGAATTATGCGGATGTTAGCTGGCACTTTGCGTCTCCTTCGTTCGGCTGAGAGATAAGCAGATTGTCTAGAGTTTAGAGACGGACAGAAAAAATAGTTATTGCATGGAGTGGAAGACTGACATCCTGTATGTTTGGTGATTTCACTTTTCTAGTGCCAGAAAATCCTTGCCAGTCGGCTGTTAGAAGCGGAGTGCGACGCCGCTTCATTGTTAGTGTTAACGGTTTAAGGACTTCGACAAATATTACTGTGAGGATTTTATTTTTGTTACGTTAGCTTGCTTATCAGTGTTTCATAGTTTTATGCATTTTAATGAGTCACGTACAACAAAAGGGACAGTGGCTTCCATTAGTGGAAGATGAGAGCTTTTTTTTTTTTTTTTGGAGACTCTACAAATGAGGAAAATGTAGAATAAGTTTTTAAAAGGTCTCATTTCATTGTAAGCCTTTTAATCTGTAGCTGTGTTTTTATTATTATTATTATTATTATAATTATTATTCTTTATAGGTAATCTTTGGAGTTGGTCATTCCTGATTGTAGAATAATTACATTCTGTTTCAATAGCTGGGATATTCTTCTGCTTAGTGGGGTTGAACATTTTACAGTTACAATCTTGCACTGGAACATATCTCTTTGGTGATTATTCTGACGGCAGTATTATTTTAGATCAAATATTTTGAGTGTTCGTATAGATGCCTGGTCACCAAGTGGCCGACTTCATCACTGAAAGGTCCATTTTTATTCTGAAGAGCATTTAGTTTTGTAACCGTGACGTGTCTGCTCTTCCTTTCTGAAGGACGAGGGCTGTTTTTCCTTAGGACCTTTTGCTCAGGAAATTTGCTGAGGGTGTCCCAACTTACTCTGCTCCTGTAACGGACCGAATCGCGCCTAACGCTTTTTTCCATGCCTAATTTTCTACGCAATTAACACACTAAACATAGTTCCCTTTATTGGCGAAAACTGAGACGCACCTCAGAGGTCGAGGTGTCATATACTCTTCAGCCGTTGACGTGATCGTCCGTCGCAGGAGCAGAAAGTTAACCTCTATTGCTTGTTCGTTTACCCCAGTCACAGTAAAAACCAAAACTGCCTTCAAATTTTCAGGGTTTGTCATCTTGTTCAGAGTAACCCTGTTTAAAAATAACAGAATCGGCTTTTGCAGATATCCCCAAACTAGTTTTTCTCTTTGATTTTCCTCTCTGTGTTGGATATATAAAAGCAATATACCTTTCTCAGTCCTCATTTTGACCGAGCCGGACAGCTGTCGTGTCCATTTTATGTTATGATATGGGTAAACCGATGCAAGGTATGTAGTCACACGTGGCCCTCTAAATCAGGGTTGCGTGCGCTTATGTGATGTGAATGAGTCTCAAACAAAGAGTAAAACCAGCTGAATGTGATTGTACTTTAAATGATGATGTCATAGCTACCACCGCCTGGGCGTAAATCGCCTGAAAAAGGTTTAGTTTGTGTTAACTCGCACCCCCAGTGTTTCCCAACCAGCGTTGACCTGGTAGCCAAGCATTTGTGATCTTAAGTTTGTATTACATGGACTTACATGTAGGGATGTGAAAGCTAAAATCGCTCTGGCCTTTTTTACGTTTTTGTTTTGTTTAGAGGTGGAGGTAGAGGTGGATTATTTCGACCGAGAACTGGAATTCGAGGAATGTGACAGAAAACACTACAAAACAACAACAAAAAAACAAACGAAAGGGGTTTTAATTGTGCTTGTGATTTTAAATGTTTGTCCTTTCACAATGGCGTCACTTCCGTGCCTGAACTGCATGTCTGAAACTGCCACCGTGAAACACATCAGTCTTCTCTTTGATAAGACGAGCAGTGCTCAGCGATGGAAACCGTCTGGGCGGCCAACTGCAGTTTAACTGTTTACCAAATGTGTGTGGAGATTTAGAATCTATTTTGCATATGAAATATCAAGTTGCCATGTTTGAGGAATTATGAATTTGTTATTTTTTTAATATCCTATAAAGTATTGCTCATGAAGTTACTCCTTATGCATCAGTATCTTTTAAAGAACATTTAATAGGGGAAAAACAAGAAAAGACTTTGTGTTCGGTTTTGGATTGGAGAGTCCAGGCCTTTCATGTCCTTTTGATTAAATTGGCAAACCCATGTGAAGGCCAATGAATGTATATCTTTGTAAAAACATTTAGCTCAGAACGTGGTAGTTATGATAGACACATGCAAGGAAAAACAAGTAAAATAACCTTTTATAAGACTTTTTGTATTAGAACATTAACATTGGTAATTTTGTACATATATGAAGACTAGGCTTTTTTTGGTTAGCAGAAAGGTGAAAACATTCCTACGTATTTTTTTTGTTTGTTTTGTTTTTTAAATGTATGTCAAGAATAATTATGTAAACCCATTGCGCAATGTTTTATGTGCCTTTTATTTGGGTTGTCTAAATAAAAGAAAACTGTCAAGTATGATTTGCCTCATTCTCTCCATGCTTTGCAGGGAATTTTGCTTTTGTCATTTGATAGATTTCAAATAATTGCTGCTCTTTTAGACTTTCTATTCATTTTTCCAGCATTGATAGTAATAATAACTGTTTCTTGAGTACCAAATCAGCATATTAGTATGATTTCTGAAGGATCATGTGACACTGAAGACTGGACTACTTTCAAAAACATTATAAACTAGTGAAAATTAATACAGCATACATTAGGCATCTGATTATAAGCAATAATTGATGCAGATATGAGCTTTCATGTGTCTTGTATATCTCACGTGAATGTCATATAGATTTAAATCCATCTCATTCTGTATTTTTTGGATGTCACTATACAGAATGACAAACTATAATTCTCATATCTTGTCTGCTAATGCCATGATCAAATGGCTGATCAAAGTTGTGAACAATTTCTTAGAGTTATTATTATATATTATTCTTGATACATATAAATTAAGCAATTATACTAAATGTAAATTATACTAAGAATTGTGTTAGGGGGAAATCTACAATTAAATGCTCTATGTCCTTTGTTGTCTGCAATGTTTTTTAAGAATTATAATGCAGATAATCACTTATTTGTAAATACAGGTTAAGTACAACATTTATACAATTAAGTATACTTATTGTTTGGAAATTATATGCATTTGAACACCTAAATACAATAGAAACGTAAAAATATTTAGAAGACTTGATGCAATATTTACATTTTTAATAAACTGACATTTAACAAAATATTCATATTCATTTTCAAACAGATATTTAGGCAATACATACACAATTTTTTGTAAATAATATTCTTTCATAATATGTACAGGTAATTAACATGTAGATTTAAATGGACCAAAAATGGAAATTCTGTCATCATTTACTCACCCACATGTTGTTCCAACCCTGTATGAGTTTCTTTCTTCTGCTGAACACAAAAGCAGATATTTTGAAGACTGTTCAACAGAAGTAGAAACTTTATACAGGTTTGGAACAACATGAGGGTGAGTAAATTATCCCTTTAAATGAATTACGTAAACCTATTCAGTCACGTAACTTACGTAAAGTTATGTAAACTTATTCAGTCTTATATTATTCATACATTTTTCTTCTTTAGAAATACATAATTATATTCATTTTCTCAACATTTCCCAGCCGCCTTGATGTCTTACGTTGGACTCAGCAGGTGTAATTCCGCTCTCTGTCCACTAGGCGGCTGTGTGGCTCTTTGTTCCCTCACACGCAGATTTTTCCCACCTCTTTGATTCATCCCAACACACAGCTAGTTCCCTTTCTGTGGGATTTCAGGCGCTGCGGCATGAACGCACCGACCGGGACCGAATCTGTGTCGATAGAGGTGATGCACGCCGACGTGTATAGTTTTTAAATGCGCAAATAGTGTTTCTTTTTAAGATAAAAGAGGAAGACGGGACGGATTGGGAACGTGCGCTGTGGCATTCTGCTCCTGTCCACCTAGAGTAAGTAACGTTAGCTGTGTTTATTTTTATTTTTTACACTGAAACATTGAACTCTATTATATTAGCGTTACATCACAGGTATGTAACGTTAGTTACTACACTGATAAAATCGCTGTGTCGATGTTTTATGGTTGTTTTACACGTCTTTGTTTAGAGTTTGGTTGCTGTTGTTAGGAGCGTGTCGTGAACTGCTGCGGCCTCCCGTCTTATTTACACTTAAATGGTATGAGTTTATATATGTGAAAGGTAATTATGCTGTACTCGTGTGAGAATAAAGACTGTGAAGTCCACATCTTGGAACTGAGGAGCGCTGTCCTTCTGCCATTAATCTGGTTGGTTGTGTCTAAAAGCTCGTTCGCTGTCTACCTAGACAGCATTTTTGGGCATCTAGACGCGAGCGAATGGAATTTGTTCTTCAATGGTCTTCATTGGCACGTTCGATAGCTTTGTTGGATTTGTGAATGAATCGTTATTTTAAGTAGGATCTTTTCAGTGAATCGGTTGCGAACCTGTCCGCAAAACTGGTCTGAACGATTCGCTGACGAATCGGTTCCAGCGGATCTCAACTCCGTGTCACTGCGAATCGGACAACAGGCCAAGTCATTGAACCGAACACCATTTCTTGCGGACTTGATCACTTCGTACTGACTGAAAAATGCCCAAACTCGCAAGAATCCCCTCTTTCGGAGATTGAAATACGTTTAATTCTAGTAAAACAAGCGAAATCTTTCATTAGAGATATGTAAATAAATGTTCGCAGTGTTTAAAGCAAACTCGCGGTATATTTAATTTTAAACTTATTTTTATGTTAGCTGAATCATGTCTAAAACGAACGGAATATGGACACACGCATTTACAATAACTTCCTTATTTATAACACAGAATGATAATTTATTTATAATATGAAATAATAATGTTTAATGATATGCCATGCAACATGACAATGAACTGCTGAATCGCTTTGTGAATCAGTTCATTGAAACGAGTTATTCGAAAGAACCGATTCACGGAAATCCGGTTGTCTGGGCTCAATTTGCATAGGCTTCATAGGCCTCTCAGTCTGTGTAGACACATAGTGGTTCAGTGAACACAACATATTTTAATTGCAAATTTTTTAGTCATTACACTTTTGACAGCTTCCTTACAACTTTACACTAAGGAACCAGTTTTAGCCCATTTAATAAAACCCCAGATGTGCTTTCTTGGCTGAGGCTGACATGCTGTTCCAACCACCAAAATAACCATTTTGTTTGAGGCCTTCAGTTTTTCCCCTTAGATTTCAGATCTGACAAACCAGAGGCCCATTCCAGTGTGTGATCACTGCACATCTTCATGTAGTACAAGGCATAGCATTCAAGAAGTTAAAGTAGTATTATTTGTTGTTGTTTTTTTATTGCTTTTGCACAGTTGGAATTTGATTTTTAATCAACCAATCCAGCATATCTTTTCTTATTATTTTCTGAAGTATAGTTTGTGCTTGTGTACCTTGCAAGGAATCCCTACCGTCACATTTTAAGACACAAAACAGATGTGTTTGGCTTGTGAAGCACATTTCTGAGTTCAAAGATCTAGATGTCAGGCTGCCATAATCCTGGTTCTCGCAGTGTTATATATGATGAAGTAGGTGGTGAAGGTCTGTCTGTCGGACAGCTGGTGCCACTCCTCCCCCCTTAACAGAGTCTTGATTTGCATATGGCCACTGACCCTGTTTTTGCCCTTCTTGAGTATGCTGGAGGGGATGATGGACTCATTGTATCCACTTACACACCTCCCATTTTGTATGGCATTATCCCGTTGAAAGCTTTTAAGATGCCTCTTGATCCACCCCAGGACCTCAGGGGTGATGAGCTGGATGTAGATCGACCCCTCCTTATTGGTGATGTCAATGCTCAGGTTGCCTACATGTGTTAAATGGCTACGTTGTATATTAATGAGTTTTTTGTTAGCATGTGAATAGATTGTAGTCAGAGATTTTGGTCAGACTTTTGGGAATGAAGTGCAGGCAGAGCAGCCAGTATTGCTTTGGGGTGTTGCATATATTCAGAGAGATTAATTCCTGAATGCGTTTAGTAGGGATGCTCCGATCTGCCTTTTTCGCCTCCGATACCGATTCCGATACCTAGGGTTCAGTATGGGCCGATACAGATACCGATCCGATACCAGTGAAGTTTTTTTCCCCTCATTTAAATAAATGTAGAATTTATATATCTCTGTGTGTGGAACTGATAATGATTCTTTCACAATCTACTAGATACAGACAATATATATTATTATTCTTATAGAAATAAGAAAAATAAAATAAACAAATATGAAAAAATATAGGCCTATGTATATTTATAATCTATGACAAAAATGTATCATAAACTAGGTTAGTGGATAATTTGGCAGCAAAAGTTAATCTAGAAAAATCAGTGCACAATAATTTTAGAAATCCAAACATTTAGGGAAAAACAGTATTTTGTGGGGAACAAATAAAAGTTTTAAATATGGTAAAATGTTACACATTGCTATTTGTATTATTATAAAATCCATTCATTAAAAACATTCATGAATGTATTTATATATACGTTTATACTATAAAATTATAATACATTTCTTTTAAATGTATAGCATATTTTTTAATAAGGCAACAACATATGATAGATACGATAGGACAAAACAAATACAGTGCAGCACGAACTGTTTTTATACAGTCAACAGTATATTTTATACAGTATATATATATAAAGTTATGCCATTTTACAAACATATAATGTATGTAAAATGGTACAGCTTTTTAAATATTTGAAAGTACACTCTTATCCGATACCCGATATGAATATCGGATCGGCGCATCCCTAGCGTTTAGTCCCAAAAATAGCTCATCGCTGTTTAATGTGTTTAAGCTTCTGTATTTTAAAAATATGACCCGAGGCGTCTTTCTTATTGTAGGAGACATAATACAAACAACTATCATAAACAGATTAGTTTTGATAAACTGTACATACAAATATCAATAAATAAGCATTTTAATGCTTCAAGGATATTGGTGTGTAGTTAGTAAAACTGAGGAAGGACGTTTTAAATCTATACACTGTTTTTTTTATTTTTTTTATAAAAACAATGTTACAGCAAATCGAAATTAAATCAGAACTATACAACGTGCCCAGTGTAGTCTGATTTCTGAACAAATCTTATGTGCCTATTCTTATAAGCAATTTTAAAAGATGAGTCACCAGTTTGAATTAAATGTTGCTGAATCCATCAGAGCAATTAATGAATCAACATCTGATTCACTTTCTGAAATGCAAGTTCTTTTCAGTGATGTCCGTATCGAAAAAATAAAGCAAATTTTTTGCCAGTGTTATTATAGTTTGTATTATTATTAATTGTGCATATAACATTGTGTTGCTTAAAATATTAAATTACTTTTTTTTTTGTGCATATTTTTATACTTCATATTCACATTTTCGATGTAGTAAATAAAACAAAAAAGATTATTGGAGTATATTTTACATGAAAATACTATTTCAGTTAACTACTTTTTTTTTAGTTAACTACAAACTACTTTTATCTTCTTTTAATTTTTAATTTACTAACAATTTCTGCATAAAAATGGGTGTTTCTACACCTTTTTATTTAAATTTACACTGCTATTGAAAAGTTTAGTTTAAATTTTTAAAGAAATCTCTTATGCAGGGCTGCATTTATTTGATTAAAAGTGCAGTAAAACACTAATATTATTACAATTTCAAACTATTTTCTTATTTAATATATTTTCAAATGTAATTTATTCCTGTGATGGCAAAGCTGAATTTTCAGCAGCCATTACTCCAGTCTTCATTGTCACATGATGCTTCAGAAATCATTCTAATATGCTGATTTGATGCTCAAGAAACATTTCTTATTATTATGATAAATGTTGAAAACAGTTGTGCTGCTCAATATTTTTGTGGAAACCACGATACATGTATTTCAAAACATATATAAATAAAGATATAAATCTTTTATAAAATAGATACATTACAAATGTCTTTACTGTCACTTTTAAACAATTTAATGCATCCTTACTTTAAAATCGGACTTGTTTAGACTGAACTTTTATAGACCTGTCACATCTTTGCATTTACAATGTTTATGTATTTGAGTGTATAGTGGAAGTGTAGCTAAAACGTGCTACTGTACTTTCAGAGGCTGTTCCTAGCAAATGTTTTCTGTTTTGGGTGACATGGGGACAGTGGCAGACTTTTGTTCCTTCTGTGGCAGATGGCCCAGAAAAGGTCTGTTAAGATCATCATTATTGTTACTGGGTTTATGGCGTTAAGCCTCAACAGATGCACTCGGAGGGGGTGGGGGCCACACTCTGAAGACCATCCAGCAGCGGGACAGTGGACATGCTGGGGGTGTCATAGTCAAGTCAGCCTTTTTCTTTCCACCTTCCTGTTTCAGAAACCCCAGTTCCCTCATGTTGACTATGGCTTTGGAACCAGGTCAGAGGAAAGGAGGAAGAAAGAAGAAGCCCTTACGCTATTTGGTTCAGTGCCTGCCTGACTGATTCAAGCTCATTCATCTGACCTAGAGTCACAAATGCCAGTGCTTTTCCACCGCAATAGTGTGGATATTAGCTCCACATACAAGCCTTTTCGAGTTGTGCTTCCAGAATGAATGCAGAAACAGCCATGAATCAAACACAAACTGTTTTGAGTGAAAGTGATTTCACCAACGAATGGCTCCGTGGCATCAATCCAGTCAGTGATGCATTCAGATAGACGCACATCCCATTAGAGATAGCAGTGAGCTACTCCCTTTCAACCATGAATTATTATACTTTGCTGACTTCACACTTCCTTCATTCAGAAACACATACGAGCACAATCAGCCAGACGTCACAGATGGCGTAATTGATTGTGCCTCTGTCTAAGGTCGGTTTTGCAATTAGTTTTGCTCTTGTCCGTCTGCCAAGGTGTTAGCTGACTGGCTCACTTGAGAACGCGTGGAGGCTTTCCAGTTTCTCCCCCTGT